GGTGGTAATCTGATGGTGCCATATCTGAAGAATATGGTGGGTGGGGGAACACTTCCCAACCAAACTCCATAATATTGTGTTGCGTCAAACGTGACACATGTGGGCATGCATTTTTGTGAAGAAGAAGAACACCTTTCCGATTGACAAGTGAAGGACGTTTCTGATGAAGGGCTTGATTTAAACGCTCCAGTTAATGAAAGTGTTCCAAAACGCGACATTAATTTCTTGACGATCTAATATATACACAATATGTTCTTTAGTCTTAAGGAACCTAAGTATTTCAAGGTAAACAGTGAACCAATATGAATAGTCAGTAATGAAAACTTCTTATAAAATATCATTTGTGTTTGATGAAGTTTGATCTGTTTATATTTGTCTTCTACTCTGTGTATATTTGCATTTACTGTGAATAGCAGATACTGGTAAACAAAAATCTCACTAGATGGCAGATGCACTCCTTGACTACTTGAATGTATTTTAATGCCCAATAGGAGGAGCAAAGAAGACTCCTAAATACTTGGTATATGCTACAAGTGTTGGTTAATACATTTAAAAAATCTACCACAAATAAGTTACGTTATTGTAGACCTTTGTAATCAATGCAAGTTTAAATTTTCACTGTCATAAGTTAAATATTAAGAAAAATAATAAAGGTACTAAAACAGCTGCAGCTCAACAATGAAAAGACCGTAATACAAACATAGAAAATGAACAGTGCAAATATTTCAGTTTAAAAATAAAATTTTATTATTTCGGTATAGTAAAACTCAGGAGAACCACCTCAGCTGAAAATGAGTTTTATTTCTGTTTAAGTTTTTCATGCTATTGTGTAATATAGCATCTGTTTTGTATACGTAAACACTGCTGTAATTTTCAGTTTTGATATGTTTATTTCAACTTATTCTAATAAGTACCTTTCTTTGCAGGTAGAGACACCTGGCGATGGCAGTCTAATAATCCACAAGGCTACAGAACATCCAAGTAGCTCAAATAAGATTATTTCAAGCATCATATTTTATTGTTCACTAACTTTCGTGTTGTTTTCCTACACGTATAAGTTACTATAAAACGTATTCCACTGACTGATTCAAATGTACAGTTCTTCCTAGTTCTCCTGGAACCTGTACTTCAATATTATGTGTGCAAATAAAATCAACGATACATATTTAGAGTCTATCTTGGTGCAATAACTTCGTCTATTGATGGCAATCATGTCAAATTGTTGTTGGGCAACGACCACAGCTGGCGATATTTGATTTTGACACTGCGGATGAAACGGGTATAATATACCTTAACTTTCATTCTGTCAGACCAACCACACCTGAACACTTTATGTATTCTACAACAATACCTCTTTCACTTTTCATTCAACGATTGTTCGTATCTATAAATAATGTGCTTACGCCTTAAGTTACTGCCTGAAATGATAAGATTTTTGACGTTATCGTGAATTCTAGACACATATATAGGCATGTATGGGTTTCTATGCAATAATTAAAGTAAACAACGAGGATACCAAGAAAGAATACTAAAAGAGTCTGAACTTGGTAGTTAATAAAAAGTTTCATAGTTTGAAAATATGGAAGAGAAATCATTCACGTTTTAAAGAAATACATGTTTGGTTGAGATAATTTAATTTTAACACGATGTCGTAAGACAATGCAATAATAAATAGTATTTCCTTTAATTTTACAAAATTTCTACATATCCCTTGCTCTGTATTTCAAAAACGTCTACATATTGAAACTTGCTCTGTCACTGAGCAAGCTCATTTGGGTTATTTGTTAAAAATCATGAAAAGTCCAGTCTATGCAATGATAAAGACTTGATTTATTTATTCGATAATGTTTGCTATAGCTTCCGTTTGCTTTGACGTAAGTTGTAAGTCTAAGTCACAAAGTTCATAAGCCCTGAAATTACTGTAGGCCTAATACCCTAATAACGTTAAACACAAAGTTCCTTATTTTATAAGAAATCTTAACTAACTTTCTGATTAGCTTTACACAAGCACTAACTTATTAAACAACTTTACTCGATAAATCTTCTCTTGATAAACAACTAATCGATCATTAACACACTGAATACCTCTTTCACTTTTCATTTAATGATTGCTCGTATGTATGAATAATGTGCTCCCGCCATTGCCTGAAATTACAAGGTTTTTGACGTTATCGTGAACGTTCTAGATACTCTAGAACTACTTTACAAACTTATTTGATTTTAACATCATGTGCCCTTTATCTAAAATCTAGTGTGTTCTTATTTTGCTACCGTTTTGTTTTCAGTTTCAGTTACTTGATTGATCAGCCGTAAAGTAGTACTAGTACGTTTAATTTTAGTTAAGTGTAGTAAATATAACATGGTTGTAATCATGGCATACAAGTTACAACAGGGTGTTCAACCTTGTAAAAACGTTAAGGAATAAATAAACTAATTTGTTATGGTTACATGAACTGGACTTTTAATTATTTTCACCAGATAATTTAAATTAATCCGCCAATGAAATAACAAGGTTGTAACATCTAAGTCATGTCAGAAGTGAGATTATTTTGATAATAATGTAATAGAACTTTGAGTTTACGTGAAGTTGAAGTTCAACTGTTTAGGATGATGGCCAGATGGACAAGTAATGAGATCCAAGCATTAATTTAGGAATGATGAAATTATTAAAACAAGGCCAAGAAAAAAGATATGGAAAATTTTAAAAAGAGCCCAACGAAAGAGATAGAAAATTAAAAGAATACCAAGGAAAACAAGGGAGGAAATTAAAATCAACTCAGAAAGAACAGAATATAAAATTAAAAGAAGGTTAAAAAGAGGTTAAGAGAAGAGTTAAATGAAACATACTACTTAATGACGAATTAAAAATGAAATAATTCTGATTAAGGTTTTGGAAATATAAAGAGAGATTACAACAATAATATCGAAGATGTATGAGAGACTGTGATGACAAAATTGAAGACGTACACCTAGGCTGTAATGACATAATTGATGAAGTAAAATATATTATCAAGGTAGAACAGAGCGTTATTGAGGTGGAAGAGAAAACCACCAAAAGTCTTGGTGAATGGACAGTTTAGTGTAGAGTTTTATTTCTGCGCTAGGATTGTTCAAAGGACTTCATAACCATGTTGTAAATTATATTTTTCAAGTTGTAAATTTGTTTGTTTATTAGAGGGAGATGTGGGTCGTAATGATGGCGTTAAGACAAAAAATTCTAATACTGTAGGGTAAGAACAGATAGAAAGTTCTAAAATATTTGACGTCAGAGTTTTTAGTAAATAAAACGTCTATATAGTAGTTAGGAAGACAGCAGAATTATTTCGAGAATTGTTTTTAGTCAGTAGAGTGAATCAGTCAGGGTGTATTTTTGTTTTAAACTATCATTTCGTTTTAGTTAGATGATCAATCAGCGTAAAGTTGTACATTAAATTTATTTGATACGCTAGTACAGTACAGTTAGTGTGATTGTAAGCGTGTCATACAAATGACAACAGTCTTCATGCTTCTAAAAACATCAAAGAAGAAATAAACTACTTTTTTATCGTTATGAGGACTAGAATGTGAATTAATTTTACCAGGCAATTTAAAAGAACCTCTTAAAGAAATAACAACGTTACAACAATAGCTTACAATAGCTATGTTCTATATGACAGCTGCATTTATATTGTATTGTGTTTTAGAAGGTAATTAGACTTTTACTGGCATACATTCTACAAAAAATTATCGATGTTTATACATCTCTTGATTCTTAATTTCCTTTCTAAAATATTTTAAAATTCTATATGTTAACTTCCAGTTTCTTTAAGCTTTCGCATTCGCTTTTCATACTTCGAGTTCTATTTCAATGGCTTCAAATTACATTTTACTCAGAATATATTTCTGTTAAAAAGATAATGTTTAATTGAAATATTTAGTAAAAGGTGCCAAGGGTAGCTCCTCCCTTTTATATGGTCGAGTTTCATACGCTACTAAATTGGTCACCTCGGGATTCTGGTATAAAGGATTTTCTGAATACACCTTGTTAATTTTCCATATGCTTCTTGTTAAGCTTCAATATAAGTTTCTAGTTTTTATTATACATATTCATCTTTTTTTCATAAAAGTAATTTTTCATAAGTTTGTCTCCATGAAATTTTTCTCAAATTTTGTCTATTTATTTTTACAGTTCTTCTTTTTTATTTTCAAGCAATGTGATTAAAGTTTGAGAATTGAAAATAAAATCAACACAAATAAAATAACAGTAATGAAATACTTCTACTTTAAAAATGGTCAATATGTTTTAATCAACATAAAATCATACTAATAACTTTAGCATATAATTAAAGTCATCACTGCATTTTCCTTCAAAATGCGTTATTAATTATTAGTCTCTAAGTATAGAGGTGCTATTATACAATATAAGTAGGGAAATTATCACGATTTAATTTATAAATAAATATTTACAAATATTTCCTTAAATTTAAGAATGGTTTTTACAGTTATATCACTTTTTGTGGACGTTATATTAAAACCTTTGTTACATATTAGAATTTCAAATAGCCTGAAATTAAGTTAACTGATAAATTTAAATTTAGTAGTTAAATTGTACTTTGGATTTAGTAGTTAAGTAAAAGCCGATATTTCGTCAGTTTATGGTGTTTGCCAACAAGATTGATACACACAGTTTTTTTTAACACAAATAATTTTAATATACACACAACAATACAAATTACAATAACAATTATTACAAACAATGATTTATAAATAAAAGTTTTACAAACTTACAAGCAATATAAAGTCTTCCATCTAGTCTGGAACTTCTTCGATATCTTATCTTATGAGCGAGTTAATTACGAGATGATGGAAATACTATTCGCTTAACGGGGTGTTAGCTAGCTTTGTCCTTCCTTATTCAACAGCTACACACGCCGAGTTTCCACGATGAAGTTATATAATGTTTTCGTAAAAGTACTAATGTTTGATGGGAATCCACTGAAGTTAAATTATTTGTAATGTTCGAACTTTGTAAATGCTCCTGATCAAATATCTGAAGTTTTCCGATTGATAAGAGCTATAACAATCGCAGTTATATATTTCAAAATTTATAGTACATTGACTATAGCAAACTAATAATAGATACTCTCTTTTGGTGCGTCGCGTTGGTTATATTTATAGGCGTGTGAATGCTTTCTAGAAAATTCAGATTATGTAACAATACAAATTTAAGCAC